TGGGCCCGGGGCCCTGCAGACAGCGGCTGGTGCACAGGGAGGCCGGGAGGGAGTGCTCAGACTGTCTAGGAGGCCACCCCTGCCGCCAGCCAGTCCCTGAGCCGGGGTCCAGTTCCCCCAGGAGGTACACACTGAGCCTCTGTATGGACAGACAACAGAGCCACTCTGTCCTAGAGAAAGAAGCGTGTGTGCCCTGCCCACCTTCCTCAGAGCACAGGGATGGACGTCCAAATGGCCCATTCACTAGCCATCCCAGCCTCGAGCCCTCACACTGCCTACAGCCTCCACCCCCAGTGCGTCCAGAATCCCAGACAACACAACCCCGAGCCCCACCCCAGCCTGGGCACAGCTTGAGACTTTTGCTCCTCCGTACCTGACCTCCCTCCCCTGCTTCCTTCCATCTGGGTGGTCATCGGTTATCACGTTTTCCCTGGGGCTGGAATTCGCTCATCTCCTTTGGGGAAAAGAGTGAGCCGGTGCCACGCTCGGTGCCCTGCTTTTTGAAATTATGACCCTCTGATATTGACTATATTTGATTTGGCTATACTTGGGTCTTCTCTTCCCACCTCAAGCATGGCACCAAGCATTTAAAAGTACTAAAGCGATCTTAAAAAGTTTTTAAATTATTGCCCTCAGTTTACAGTCCGGATGGGAAGATGGCCATAGACGACACTGCCCGCCTAAGTACTTAGCTGGATTGTAGAAATTATTGAAGGAGGTATATGCTGCTCGTTTATGTATATGACGGAGTAGATTCACATGGACAATCTCTTTCCAGGAAATGTGGAAAATGAGATATAAGAGACAGAATGTCTTGACAATTCGCCAGTGCCTGATGCATTGGGAGTGAATGCCCAGCACTGGTGCAAAACCAGTCTGGACGGAGGCAAGGCCAGCCACTGGATCAGCCGGGTTTGCTCTGCTGTTAACGCCCCCGCCCCCGCCCCCCACAGCAGGAGCACGGGGCTGATGCCCGGCATGTGAAGCACGGGAGAGAGACGGTGAGACGGTGTCAGTGAGACTTCGACTTCGTCGGCCAGGACAGCGGAAAACATCACTGCTCTGCCAGAGGGCAACACACTGCTGAAAGCAGCCCAGGACACAGTGCCCGAGACAGCCCCAGAGCCCTGTGTCCCCTGAGCGCCAGGATCACAGGCTGTGAGGAGCTCTTGCCTGCTCCCCCATGGGGCCAGTCCTTTTTGTCTCTGAGCCTCAGTCCCCTCATCTCACACCCACACGTCTCTGGCGTTGACGCTTCTCTTTTTCTCTCCCTTTCTCTCTTCTAGTCCTCTCCCCTCTGATGTCTTCCACCAGTTCTCTGGCTGATAACATTTCTGAAAGAATCCCTATCTGACTTGGCTTTTATACATGGAGCCATGAACCTGTTGCCCGAGCCAAAATAAAAGCATCTGAATTCTCCAGATGGCTCTCTGGAAGAGGCTGTTTGCTCATTGCAAGCAAACACCCTCGAAAGCCAAACAAAAACTGCCCACAAGTAAACAGCATGTGACATAGCCCCTTCCTGCGGCCACTTAGTAGAAACCCAAAGTCAAGCCCGTGGCAGGAGGGGAAGTTGGGGACGGAGAGATGAAGGAGCCACACACTGGCCCGCAGGGAGCACTGGGGACCACAGGCAAGGTGGCGGGGACAACAGAGCCAACACCATACTCATTTATTCTTGCGACTGCCCCTACCCTACTTTGATGATTACAAGGGCAGAACCAATTTAGAAGGTTAGGGGAGAAAAGTCAAACACTTCACTGTAGGTCTTAAGAATATAACATAGTAATCTGTTTTCTAGAATTAAAATGATTGGCATCATTTTTAAGTCAGTTACTTCTACATCATGATTACTTCTGAGTGTGACTAAAGGGCACCATCAGATAAATAAAAATGAAAATGAAGACAGAGGAAGACGGCAGACGAGAGGCCTGTATACCTACATGCCTGGACAAGAAACAAGTCACTCCTGACCTGCCCAGGCTCCCTATCTGAGGTTACCAAGGACTAGCGGTTCTCCAGCCCAAATATATCCCTCTCACCGGTTCCCTCCCGGCCAGTCACAGGGTCCATCCTCCCTCATGTCCTTCTAGATCACCTTCCTTTCCCAGACACTCCCCTCCACTCCCTGTAGCCTCCCCTCCCTCTGACACTGCTCTCTAAGATGCAAACCCATCTCACCTCTCCATGCTCAAAAGCTCTTCCGTTGGCCTCGCTGCCCTCCGCTGCCCTCCGGATAATTAACACAAATCCACCCATGCCCAAGAGCCAGGAGGGCATGGTCTCCAGCCCTATTTCCAGGAGGTTCCCCCTAACTCACTTTCAGCCAACTTTTGACAGCTCACTTTTGCCTCCAGAGTTTTGCACATGCTGTTCCTTCTGCTAGACTGCCTTCCCTTCTTGTTGTTCTATTATTTTAAGGTACAGTACAACTAAAATCTTTGTGGACAGTTCTAGGAGTTTTCACACACATGTATAGAACCACCACCACAATCAGGAGACAACAGTTCTGTCGCTCCAAAGGCCTCCCTCGTGCCCTGCCTTTGGAGTCACAGCCTCTCCATCCCCAGCCCCCGGCAGCCATCACCTGTTCTCTACCACCTGTGGCTTCATGTCGCCCAGAATGTCAGATAAATGGAATCACACAGTAGGTAACCTTTTGAGACGGGTTTCTTCCGCGCAGCAAGTGCCTTTGAGACTCATCCCGTTGTTGTGTGTCGCAGTAGATTGCTGTCTTTACTGCACAGTATGGCTGGATCTCACCCTGTTGGTCCAACCTACAGTTGAGGACATTTGGTTTGCTTCTAGTTCGGGGAAATTATGTATAAAGCTAGTGTACGCATTTGGATCCAGGTGTTTGTGTAGACATATGTTTTTCATTCCTCTGGGGTAAATACACAGGAAGAGGGTTGCTGGATTCTGTGGGAAGTGCGTATGTAACTTTACAGGGAACTGACAAGCTGTTTTCCGGTGTGGTTCTATCACCGTACATATCTACCTTTAACGTGTGAGCATTCCAGTTACTGCGCATCCTGGCCAGCACTTGAAATTGTTAGGGCGTTTTGCTGTTTAGCTATTCTAATAGATAATCATGGCTTCTCTTTTCTTCAGCCATCCTCAGACATTCCCCCTGCCTCCCCACTCCTCAGAAGCGCCCTTCTCTGCCTCCGCATCAGAGCATTCAGCTCACAGGACAGAAACATTTCTATGTGCCTCCCTCTGCCCTGAACTTACCACCTGCTGTGCCCCACATATACACCCACATGGGCACGCACACTCAGGTGGCATCACCAGACCACATACTCCCCAGGGACAGGGTCTCTGTCACTCATCTTTGAATTTTCTGCCCTAGCACTATGTCTGGCTTACAGCGGGTATTTCCTGAATGGATGGATGAACGGCACGGCAGCAAAGAGAGACGAACACGGATACACTCGTAACAGAAGACTGTGAATTCCTCTTTCATGGCCTTCTAGATGGGCCACTTGAGAATTCCAAAGCCGCTGGGACAGACTCAAGCCCTGCCTAGAAGAGACACATGTTCATTGAGAACCAGTCAAGGCCCAGAGAACAGTGTAAGGCTCCTGCTGTTTCCTCACCCTCCACTTCCCCTTCTCCCTCCCTTTCACTCTTTTTTTTAAAAATTTTTTTTTTTAACGTTTATTTATTTTTGAGACAGAGAGAGACAGAGCATGAACAGGGGAGGGGCAGAGAGAGAGGGAGACACAGAATCTGAAACAGGCTCCAGGCTCTGAGCCGTCAGCACAGAGCCCGACGCGGGGCTCGAACTCACGGACCGTGAGATCATGACCTGAGCCGAAGTCGGATGCTTAACCGACCAAGCCACCCAGGCGCCCCTCCCTCCCTTTCACTCTTAACACCCAGTCACCACTGAATTCACCAGCTGCTATCATAAAGCACTTTCCAGCTTCCACTCAGTGAGCAGTTCCAGGGCCACCTGGCTGGGCCCCCGGGGAGTACAGCCATATCCCAGGCCACCTCAAAGAATAGGGTCTGTATCTGTATGTGTGTGTTGGGGGTGGGGGCCCACACAGAGAAGAAGGGCAGCCGGGGGCTCACCCACAAACCACCGTTTTATCCTCACTCTCGGGCCAGATGGTCCTTCAGAGGCAGACTTGTGTAGGCCCATCCAGACAACAGGGGGATGGCACCCCAAGCTCCCCAGATGGAAACACATCCACAATCACATCAAAAAGGGATCCAAGCAAAGACGGCCCAGGTTTCTCACAGCACCTGGGCCTTGAAGAACCCTGATGCACTCTGTTTCTACACTGGTACTCTGGGTGGGAGGGAGGGCTGGGCCTCCCAAGTCTGTTCTGAGGGGGCTGTCGCCATCTTTGAAGCCTGTTTGAAGCACATTTCTTTCTCTGGCCCTTGAAACAACTAATGAACTCATCTCTTTGTGAAGCTTATTCCCCACCCCCTCTCCCAACCCACTGCTTTGTGAACCAGCCTCTTCTTCAGCTAATTAGGGCCAGTGGATTATTTACAACCCTCTGCTCCCTGGCCAGTCCTGTGCAGAGCCTGGCTCATCTATGCAGCAGGTTACAGGGGTGCCCACAAGAGAAAGGGTATCAAATTCCCCATGGGCTCCAAGGGCTGGAATGTCACTGTTCCCAGTTCTGATTCCATAATGAGTTTCACCTCTTTTCTTCAGGTGAGCCTGAGAAACTTGGGCCAGGTGATTGGCTGGAGCACCCCAGCATTAGACCTCAGGGGCCTGTGGCTGAGTGGGGACCGCATGCTCATCCAGTGTTCAGCAAGGAGGCCCAGGGCACACAAACTGGGCAAACATCTCCTGAAGGCTGGGTGTTTCCTGCCTGGCGAGAAGAAAGATTTAAAGGAGCAAGAGAACTGCTTTAGAATAGAATCTGTCTGCATATGATCCATAGTTACAGAAGTGTCCCAGTAGCCCCTCTTTGACTAGTCGTGAACGAAAATGCATCAGCAACTTCCTTACCATTTGTTTTATTTAGGTTCTGACGAAAAGAAAACTATTTTGTGGATCTTCTGTAAGGCCCTCATTCTTAAAGCACCTTTGGGGCATCAAGCGTTTTACTTTTGTTGATTCCATTTGCTCCTTGTAATGATCCATTATTTTTTTTTTAATTTTTTTAACATTTGTTCATTTTTTTTGACAGACAGTGAGTGGAGGAGGGGCAGAGAGAGGGAGACACAGAATCCGAAGCAGGCTCCACGCTCTGAGCGGTCAGCACAGAGCCCGACACGGGGCTCGAACTCACAGACAGCGAGATCATGGCCTGAGCCGAAGTCGGACGCTTAACCGACTGAGCCACCCAGGCACCCCTGTAACAGTCTGTTATTATAAGCCCATGCTACAGAGGGGCCTGCAGCTCAGAGTACTGGAGTGCTTACCCAGGGCCGTGTGGTAGCCTAGCCTGGCACAAACCTCATTCTGATTTTAAACCCTGTGTCCTTTCCTTTGCCACTCCAAGCTGCACCAAATGCCTCAAGTACATGAAGAGGCTATGGAGGACTAGGAGAACGGGGCTCTAACAGAGCTCTGAGTAACCCTGAGAAGGTCACATCCCTTCTCTGATCTCAGCTCCTTCACCTAGAGATTCCACCAGCGATTTTAGCTCTTGGTTCCTCTGAGGAGAACTGACCCATGTGTGAGTTCTCCTGGGACCCTCTTCCCTCCATGGCTGCCTGTCTGATGACATACCACAGTGTAGATTGAAGAGAGACAAGAGGAAATGCCTCCCACACCCACACTCTGGGCCCTTGAAGGTAACTGCAGTAAGATCTTTCCTAAAGAGGCTAAAATAATTTGTTCTTGTGAGCTTGTCTGATTTCCACTTAGCCAGGCACTCAGTCCTGGATATCCCCAAGTCCACGGATAATCAGAAGCTGGCCACGCACCACTGAAAATAGCTCCAAAGTGGGAACAACTTAAAGTCCACAAGCAGAGAGATGATTATCAAAACCGTGGTGCTGAGCATTGAAAGTATGGTTCTGAGTATTTTTTGGAGATGCAGACATGGAATGTGTTTTGACAAAAAGTGGAGTAAAACAAATCAAACTAAAAAACTGCATGTTTGGTATAATCTCATCTCTTTAAAATAATACTCAGGGGCACCTGGGTAGCTCAGTTGGTTAAGTATCCAACTTCAGCTCCCGTCATGATCTCAGTGAGTTTGAGCCCCAAGTCCGGCTCTGTGCTGACAGCTCAGAGCCTGCAACCTGCTTTGGATTCTGTGTCTCCCTGTCTCTGTTTCCCCACACACACACCCACACCCCTGCCACTCATGCTCTCTTTCTCAAAAATAAATAAACATTTAAAAATAATAATAATCAGAGTAGGAAATATGCCAAAATGATACATGGTTACCTATAGAAATTGGCAGTATGGGCATATATATGATCAGGAAGAAAATGGTTTATTTTTTATTTTTTTTATTAAAAATTTTATTTAATGTTTATTTATTTTTGAGAGAGAGAAAGAGCAGGAAAGGGGCAGAGAGAGAGGGAGACATAGAATCTGAAGCAGGCTCCAGGCTTCAAGCTATCAGCACAGAGCCCGACGTGGGGCTCAAACTCATGAACCACAAGATCATGCCCTGAGCCAAAGTCGGATGCTTAACTGACTGAGCCACCCAGGCACCCCAGGAAGAAAACATTTTTTAAAGTTGGCAATAATAATCTTAACTTCTTCTATCAATATTTTTCATCCGAGTTCTGAGTCGTGGCACACACCAAGTCACCTGCCATCATTGTAAGGAAAGATAGCAAGTGTCTCCCAATCTTAGACCCACACCCCTTCAGGATGATCAAAAAATACCCTCACAGGTCCTGCAGCTCAGTGTTCACTTTGGCAAAAAGACATCTAAGGACACCAGACTTTCAGCTTTATATTTCTAACCTAGAGTTTCTCGTTTGACGTGCCTTGGATCAGTAATATGACAGTGTTAAGGAATTACTGGACAAAGGCTACGATATTCAAACACGTTGGGGAAGTTCACATCTCGGTTTTAATGAATTACGAGAGGTTTCTCTGTGGAACGATCCTGCAAGAGGGACATATTAGATGTATCATTTGCAGATGAAGTTCACTGACACCTTCTATTTTAGGACTATCTCAAGGGATGGCAGCTCTACAGATTCAGGGATATCTGGGGAAGTGCAGTTCCTATTCCCTCAGCCTTCTAGCCCTGTGCTTTTCAGTCTTGGCTGCACACTAGGGTCACCTGGGCAGCCTTAAAAACAAATCCCTTGGTCTGGTTCTGGTCTGGATTTGG